AAAACCACTTAAATATATTGTGAACTTCATTATTTGCAGACAAAATCAGATTATGCATGTCTTTGTGGTGAGAGAGCAAGCAAGTATCATCAGCAAAAAGTGAATAAGTAAACAACTGAGATGAGTTTATAATATCATTAATATAAATCAAGAACAATAAGGGGCCCAGGACTGAGCCTTGGGGTACGCCATATTTTACCTTCCTAGATTGTGATTTAACTCCATTAACCACTACATACTGTAATCGATTATGTAAGTAATTTTTAAACCATTTCAAAGCTATCCCACGAATGCCATAATGCTCAAGCTTGCTTAATAATATATCATGATCAATAGTGTCGAATGCTTTCGATAAATCCAAAAACACACCAAGACAAAACTTCCCAGCATCAATTGCATTTATAATAGTGTTTACCAAATTCAAGACACCCATACTTGTAGAGCAATTCTTTCGAAAGCCAAATTGTTGTGGGATCAGAATATCATGAAGTCGAAGGAAGTCATCCAACCTTTTATACACTATTTTCTCTAGAATTTTTGAAAATATGGGTAACAAAGCAATTGGTCTATAATTCTCAATGTTCTTACGATCATTCTTCTTGAATACAGGGATTACTTTAGCTATTTTCAATTTGTTTGGGACAATACCCTGAAACAAGGACTTATTAAAAATATCACACAAGGGTTCAACAATGCATTGAATACAAGTTTTAATGACTTTTGGGGAAATGTCGTCAGAACCGCATGCCTTGGATGGTTTTAGAGTTAAAACAAAGTTAGAAATTTCATGAACAGACGTTGGTCTAAAGTACAAGGACGAGGAGTGATTCTGCACTGACAAAAATTGTTTGTATGATGTTTGGACAGGAGGAATTTCCTTGTTTATTTTAGAGGGCAAATCAATGAAATATTCATTAAAATATTTTGCTTTTTGTAAGTCTGATTTTAACAGTAAATCATTATGATACATATCATTTGGAAGTGGCGTCTTCTTCCCCCTCCCAAGCAAACCATTAATATGAGACCAAGTCTTTCTAATATCATTCTGAGTAGTTCGAAAAACATTATCATAATAATCCTTCTTACTTTGACGAACAAGGTTTGTCAACAAGTTTTTATAGTCAACATAACTTTTCCGATTAATCTCATTTTGGTTCTTAATATATGTATGATAAAGCTTATGTTTCTGATTAATAGATTTCAGAAGACTTGGAGTAATCCATGGTTTCCTGCATTTCTTCTTCACACTCAATTCAACTAAAGGGAAATGTAAATTATATAAGTTGGAAAAAATATCACTAAAATAGTCATAAGAAACATTTGCATCAAACAAGCTATATAAACTAGACCAATCAACTTGAAGAAGATCGCGTTGGAAATTATTCATTCTTTCATCAGTAATCACACGTCTAAATAATTTATTGTGTACCTTTCCTGTAGTGACTGCATTGCCTTTGTTAATGCTACAAATTGGCATGTGATCAGAGAAATCAGAACAGAATATTCCAGAATAGAAATGGTCTTGAACACAGTTTGTAAATATATTATCGATTAAGGTTGCTGAAGATGACGTGATACGAGTCGGTTTAGTGATTAGGGAAAGCAACCCAAACGAAAACATAAAGTCAACAAAATCTTTTACCTTTTCATCTACATCAACATTTAACAAATTGATATTAAAGTCACCCATAATATAAATGTCATTCCTTTCTTTACTCAGTATTTGCATTACATGATCAAAGCCATCAATAAATGATCTAATGTCATTACCAGGCGCTCTATAAATGCATCCGACAATCGACTTTTTGTTTGCAATACTAATTTCTAAAAATACACATTCATAATAAGCATTAGCCATAGATAGATCATTACGTATCTTGTAATCAAGCCCGTCTCGGACATAACATGCTACTCCACCACCTTTCTTATTTGATCGACAGACTTGAACAAATGAATATCCTGGAATATCAAACATAGCTACATCTGTAGATGGTTTGAACCAGGTTTCTGAAATACCAATAACAGAGAAATTATGTTCTATACAGGATAGTAATACTACCAGATCATCAAAGTTTTTAAAAAGACTTCTGGAGTTAATATGCATCAGAGAAAGTTTTTTATCGCCATTAAACTGGAAATCGCTGCAGTTGATATAGCTACACTCATTAACAACAGCATCATTAATATCTTCAAAATCATCATCCATGAGGAAAGATTAGATGTAAACAGTATATAAAAACAACAGATCTGAAGCGGTCATAAAAAATATCAAATACCAAAACAGAGAGATAAAACAAAGCAGTTTGCGGATAGCCATCACATTCATTCACATACAAGAACACACACACAGACACACTCAGAACGACATGAACATAAAAATATATAGAGATGTACAGAGTATATTGATAAAAAAAAGTGCAAGTGCACATAGTAAAAAGTGAAAGAGAAATAAGGCATAAAAAGGGAAAAAGAAAGATGTATAAAGAAAACAAGACGTAATAAACAGAGAGAATATATATATATATATATATATATATATATAAATGTAAGAGGGAAAACAAAAGGTGTAAAGAACGTTAGATAACGCACGGGTAAAAATGCAAACCTCTAGGAGAGGCACTTGGAAGTAAAAAGAAAAATAAAGAGTTACAAAGTCGCAGCTTGCTGCAAAGATGAGAAAAGTTTTTTGACTTGAACCCCCTCTTCGTTGGTCTTGAGGGCAGCCATGACTCTTCCATCAATCGACCAAGCCGCTTCCACCTTTGGATGGGTCGCCAATTTCATCAGAATTTTGTGGTTAAGTGAAGTTAAGTCCTCCTGGATGGAGATACCTGACCCCTTCAGCTTGCGACGCTCCTTCATCAACTCTGCCTTCATTCTGTGCGAGGACAGCTTCACTAAAATTGGGCGGGGCTTGTCGTCGGTGCGGGGCTTCCCTGAACGGTGTGACCTGTCGATGTTGGCCTTGGTCATAGGACAGCTGAGATGCTCTGATACCACCTTAAGTACCAAGTCATCGGTACTCTCCTTAGATGTCTCCGGCACCCCAAACACCCGAACAGAGTTCCGCCGACTATATTGCTCTAAGTCGTTGGCTCGACTCTCGAAAGCCTCAATCTTGCTCCCCAATGACTTCATGGAAGTGGTGAGGGACTGAACTTGGGCCTCCTTTTTATCCAGGGCAACTTTCAGATCGTGGATGTCGCCTTCTTGCCTCTCAATCTTCTCCTCAAACTCTCGCTGGCGCTTAGAAAGAACTCTCTCCATGCACTTTTCCAAAGCTGATACAAATTCATCTTCACGAAATATATTTTTAATGATATCATGGATATCAGAAAACTCTGAAGAGAGACTACTCTCAGTAGAAGAGCCTTGACCGGTTGATGACATGATGGTAATAAAAATGAGAGTGGGGAAGAAAGCTCCGTAAACGAGGATGAAGAGCGAGAGGGGTAATAAACTGGAAGTGAAAGTGAATTGAGGAATGTCACATGATACTCACAAAAAGTATTATATGTGGGACAACAGTAAGCACATACCTAGTTGAAAGACAATATTTCCTCAATCAAAAACGGGGTGAAAATCCATGTCCTAGCAAGTTCATGACGTAAAAAGTAAATCCAAATGTCTCCCAGAGGCTTAAGTGAATTGTTCAACACAATTACATGGCGATCAAAATATCAAATCAAGACCAATCAAGACAAAGTAGACGAGCATGGACAACACATGTCCAACATCGTCTTCTCTCAAGACGTTATCGCGTTTAACAAATGATAAACAATCGTTGTTTATTTCTCCCACTTTCCGCCAACAACAAAAAGCATTGTCGGCAATCCGGAGAAGGAAGTTAAGACGGTAAAACACTTTTAAAAGCTCAAGTAGAGTCTTTCACACCTGCTTTTTCAAAAAATCCTTCAAATAAAACTTGTAGACTGTAAAATGCAAAACATTATTTGAAATATGACCGTCGCTCTTTAAATTGAATTGCTAATAAAAAATGTCATATTGATTATCAGTGTTATTCAGAAGGAATGACAGCTGAACAGAACGACATAAAAGCTACTAACAAAAGGTTACAATGTAAAAGGGAACATTTGAACAGCATCTCATGATGACTTTGCTCGTCTTGCTTCTACCTCAGATATATGAAAACATACCTCTTACACAAGGAGAACTAAAACAAAGTAAGAAATATGAAGAACTGCGTTATTTCAAGTCAACTAAAAAAGAAGACAATTTGACACCAAATATATTACAACAGTCTACAGTAGACCTTTTTCTTTTAACCCTTATGACTAATATGCATCACCTCATGCACCCCAATTTCTCTCTCTCTCTCTCTCTCTCTCTCTATTACACCCGACATTTTGTGAATATAGGGGAATGTTTTCAATAATAGTCGGGTAACGCAACCACCTGACCTGACGAGACGACCCGACGATTCGAAGTAACCCATCTGTTTCTATATCTCCCAATAGAAATTAGATCGACCCTCAACTTTTGTTATTTTCATTATTATTATTGTTATTACGTATACCGCAATTTTCCCGTAATACTAAAAGCGGTAAAAAACAATTACATAAATCCATAAAACAAGAAAAACAATCTTACAGCTACAAACTGCATAAAAGATGTTTTTGAAAATCCTTTCTGAAGGTAATAACCGATGAAGTCTTATTCTAAGTGATAGATCATTCAGGTATTATGAAGCAGATTCAGTAAATGCCCTATCACCAGCTTATGCGCGAATAACTGAATGTGTAACACGAAGAGGATCACTGGCTGTCCTCAATTCCCTGGTAGGTGTATACACATTCAAACAGGTATCTAAATATTGTGGAGTTTGATTATCGTAACTTGGGGAATACAACTTGTGGAATACTTAAGGGTATATAAATATACGGAGTATGCTATTCAAAATATTGGGAACATGAAAACACTCTTACAAGTTGTTTTATCTTTTCTTTTTAAGCAGATTGAAAAGCTCTTTATAGATGGCTGTAATCTGAAGGAAAATGATCCAACGGCATCATGTGACCTAGCCAGGTTTCTTTGTCTTCTGCCTTGTCTCACCGACCTGACGATGAGGGAGTCTGACCATATATGGCTACGTGATGATTTCTATCATGAGCTTGCTCGTCTTGCTTCTTCCTCAAAGGTAAGGTAACAAATGATAAACAATTACTGTTTATTTATCCCACTTTCCGCCAACAACAAAAGCATTTTTCGGCGATCCGGAGATGGGGATTTGGGCGGTAGACCATCTTTCACAGCTCCAGTAGAGTCTTTCACAACTGATTTTTAGAAAAATCCCTCAAATAAAACTTGTAGACTCTAAAGTGCAAAACATTGTTTGAAATATATCCATAGCTATTTTAAATGAATTTCTCTAAAAAAAAAGTCACATTGATTATCTGTGTTATTAAGAAGGAATGACAGCTGTACAAAACGACAGAAAAACTACTAACAAAAGGTTACAATGTAAAAAGGAACATTTGAACAGCATCTCATGATGACTTTGCTCGTCAAGCTTCTACCTCAGATATATGAAAACATACCTCTTACACAAAGAGAACTAAAACAAAGTAAGAAGTATGAAGAACTGCGTTATTTCAAGTCAACTGAAAAAAAGACAATTAGACACAATATATATTACAAAACCCATTACAACAGTCTACAGTAGACAGTCCTTATGACTATTATGCATCACCTCACCCCAACTCTCTTACTCTCTCTCTCTCTCTCTCTCTCTATTACACCCGACATTTTGTGAATATAGGGGAATGTTTTCACTAATAGTCGGGTAACGTGACCACCTGACCTGACGCGACGACTCGGCGATTCGAAGTAACTCATCCCCTTCTATATCTCCCAATAGAATTTAGATCAACCCTCAACTTTTGTAATTATCATTATTACTTAATATACTGCAATTCTCCCGTAAGACCAAACCGCTAATTTAAATAACGATTACATAAATCCATGTAATATGAAAAACATTCTTACAGCTACAAACTGCATAAAAGATGTGTTTTCAAGGCCTTTCTGAAGGTAATAACTGATGAAGTCTAATTCGAAGTGGTAGATCATTCAAGTATTATGAAGCATATACAGTAAATGCCCTAACTGAATATGTGAGACGGAGAGGATCACTGGCTGACCTCAATTCCCTGGTAGGTGTATATAAATTCGAGCAGGTATCTAAATATTTCGGAGCTTGATTATCGTAACTTGGGGAATACAACTTGTGGAATACTTAAGGGTATATCAATATACGGAGTATGCTATTCAAAATATTGGGTACTGGAAAACACTCTTACAAGTTGTTTTATCTCTACTTTCTAAGCAGATTGAAAAGCTCTTTATAGATGGCTGTAATCTGAAGGAAAATGATCCAACGGCATCATGTGACCTAGCCAGGTTTCTTTGTCTTCTGCCTTGTCTCACCGACCTGACGATGATGGAGTCTGACCATATATGGCTACGTGATGATTTCTACCATGAGCTTGCTCGTCTTGCTTCTTCCTCAAAGGTAAGGAAACAAATGATAAACAATCACTGTTTATTAATCCCACTTTCCGCCAACAACAAAAGCATATTTTGGCGATCCGGAGATGGGGATTTGGGCGGTAGACCTTCTTTCACAGCTGCAGTAGAGTCTTTCACAACTGATTTTTAGAAAAATCCCTCAAATAAAACTTGTAGACTCTAAAATGCAGAACATTGTTTGAAATATGTCCATAGCTATTTTAAATGAATTGCTCTAAAAAAAAGTCACATTGATTATCAGTGTTATTCAGAAGAAATGACAGCTGAACAAAACGACAGAAAAGCTACTAACAAAAGGTTACAATGTAAAAGGGAACGTTTGAACAGTATGTCATGATGACTTTGCTTGTCTTGGTTCTATCTCAGATGTATGAAAATATACCTCTTACACAAAGAGAATTAACGAAGTAAGAAGTATGAAGAACTGCGTTATTTCAAGTCAACTGAAAAAAAAAACAATTAGACACCAAATATATTACAAAACCCATTACAACAGTCTACAGTAGACAGTCCTTTAAACAAAATAAAACAAAAATCCCTTGATTATCATAACTTGGGGAATACAACTTGTGGAATACGTAAGGGTATATCTAAACACGGGTTATGCTATTCAAAATATTGGGAACTGGAAAACACTGTTACAAGTTGTTTTATCTCTACTTTCTAAGCAGATTGAAAAGCTCTTTATAGATGGCTGTAATCTGAAGGAAAATGATCCAACGGCATCACGTGACCTAGCCAGGTTTCTTTGTCTTCTGCCTTGTCTCACCAACCTGACGATGATGGAGTCTGACCATATATGGCTACACGATGATTTCTATCATGAGCTTGCTCGTCTTGCTTCTTCCTCAAAGGTAGGGTAACAAATGATAAACAATCACTGTTTATTTCTCCCACTTTCCGCCAACAACAAAAAGTATTGTCGGCAATCCGGCAGGGGCTGTCGAGCGACTTCCAAAGTGGGGGGGGGGGGGCACCAACAAAAAAGGGCACTTTCTGAAGAAAAAAGGGCACCTACAGTGGGAAATCTCAAAGCGAAAATATACAATTTTTTTGACATTGGTACATACCCCTGCATTGTGATTACATTATCAGGGATGATTTCAATATTTGTTTCTCTTCATACATCATACAAGATATCGCTTAAGCATCATACTTTACAGTTGGGTGGGATGTCTGAATATGCATTTACGAGCTAGCGAAGCGAGCGAGAAAATTTTTAAAGATCTGCGAGGTCGCAGTGCGAAAAATTACATCTTATAAAGAGGAAAAAAACCAATCGTGATGGGGTTATATTAAGCACATTCTCATAACGGAAGACTGAAAAGACCTTTGATAACTTACATAATTATATCATCTTTAAATGTGAGCCAGCGCAGCGAGCGAACTTTGGGGGAAATTGCTCTTAGTCGCTTTAAATAAGGGGCATGTTTAATGATTTCATGAAAAGGGGACAATTATCGAAAGGGATAAGACACTCATTAGAACTGAAAAGGAGCACGTGTCAAAGTACAAAGGATAATTATAAGAGGTGAACATGAGGCATTTTTTTCACCTGAAAAGAGGCACTCACCTGATGAAAAAGAGGCGTTTACGAAAATGGGAAATAGGCATTTGTTGACGGAAAAAGGGCACCCATCAGATTTTGATAGGGGCACTTATAAGAGGTGAAAAGAGGCACTGACCAGATATGAAAAGGGGCACTTATGAAAATGTAAAAGGGGCACTTATAATAAAGGAAAATGTGCATTTGTTGAATGAAAAGGGGGCACCGTTCAAATTTAAAAAAAGGGCCGTTATGAGAAGGGGAGGGAGCTTTTTCTTTTTAATGGGTGCACTTATCATAAGGAAAAGGGGCACTTATTAGAAAGGGAAAGCGGTAGTTATGAGAAGGGGAAGGAGCTCTCTCTTTTTAATGGGGGCACTTATCATAAGGAAAAGGGGCACTTATTAGAAAGGGAAAGCGGTAGTTATGAGAAGGGGAAGGAGCTCTCTCTTTTTAATGGTGGCACTTATCATAAGGAAAAGGGGCACTTATTAGAAAATAAAAGGGGCACATGTTAAAATTAAAGGTGTGCTCATCCGAGTTTAAAAAAGGGGTAGTTATTAAAAGGAGAAGGGGCACTTCTTACAAAGGAAAAAAGGGGCAGTTGTCAAAGTAAAGGAGCACCTCTCAGTTTTGAATAGGGCAATTATCAGAGGTGAAGGGGGCACTTATCAAAAGTGAAAAGGGGCACTTCTCGTACCTGAAAAGAGGCACTTACTAGAGATTAAAAAGGGCACTTATTAAAGATAATTTCAAGATTTATGAGAATGGAAAATGGACACTTATTGCAAAGGAAAATGGGAACGTGTCGAAGGAAAAGGGGCACGTGTCAAAAATAAAAGGGCACTCGTCAGAGGTGAAAAGGGGGGAAGGGGCACTTTTATTTAGTAATAGGGGCACTTGTCAAAGTAAAAGGGGCACTTTTCCTATGTAAAAAGGGGCACTTTTGGGGTATCTGAAAAAGTGGGGGGGGGGGGGCACTGTGCCCCCCCTGCCCCCCCGGGAGAACCGCCTCTGCAATCCGGAGAAGGGGGTTAAGACAGTAAAACACTTTTCACAGCTCAAGTACAGTCCCCCACACCTAGATCTTTACAAAATGCTCTTTAAATTGAGTTGCTGAAAAAATGTCACATTGGTTATCAGTGTTATTCAAAAGGAATGACATCTGAACAAAACGACAGAAAAGCTACTGACAAAAGGTTACAATGTAAAAGGGAACGTTTGAACAGTATGTCATGATGACTTTGCTTGTCTTGGTTCTACCTCAGATGTATGAAAACATACCTCTTACACAAAGAGAATTAAAACGAAGTAAGTAGTATGAAGAACTGCGTTATTTCAAGTCAACTGAAAAAAAGACAATTAAACACCAAATATATTACAAAACCCATTACAACAGTCTACAGTAGACAGTCCTTTAAACAAAACAAAACAAAAATCCCTTGATTATCATAACTTGGGGAATACAACTTGTGGAATACGTAAGGGTATATCTAAATACGGGGTATGCTATTCAAAATATTGGGAACTGGAAAACACTCTTACAAGTTGTTTTATCTCTATTTTCTAAGCAGATTGAAAAGCTCTTTATAGATGGCTGTAATCTGAAGGAAAATGACCCAACGGCATCACGTGACCTAGCCAGGTTTCTTTGTCTTCTGCCTTGTCTCACCGACCTGACGATGATGGAGTCTGACCATATATGGCTACGTGATGATTTCTACCATGAGCTTGCTCGTCTTGCTTCTTCCTCAATGGTAAGGTAACAAATGATAAACAATCACTGTTTATTTATCCCACTTTCCGCCAACAACAAAAGCCTTTTTCGGCGATCCGGAGATGGGGATTTGGGCGGTAGACCATCTTTCACAGCTGCAGTAGAGTCTTTCACAACTGATTTTTAGAAAAATCCCTCAAATAAAACTTGTAGACTCTAAAGTGCAAAACATTGTTTGAAATATATCCATAGCTATTTTAAATGAATTTCTCTAAAAAAAAAAGTCACATTGATTATCTGTGTTATTAAGAAGGAATGACAGCTGTACAAAACGACAGAAAAACTACTAACAAAAGGTTACAATGTAAAAAGGAACATTTGAACAGCATCTCATGATGACTTTGCTCGTCAAGCTTCTACCTCAGATATATGAAAACATACCTCTTACACAAAGAGAACTAAAACAAAGTAAGAAGTATGAAGAACTGCGTTATTTCAAGTCAACTGAAAAAAAGACAATTAGACACCATATATATTACAAAACCCGTTACAACAGTCTACAGTAGACAATCCTTATGACTATTATGCATCACCTCACCCCACACTCTTACTCTCTCTCTCTCTCTCTCTCTCTCTATTACACCCGACATTTTGTGAATATAGGGGAATGTTTTCACTAATAGTCGGGTAACGTGACCACCTGACCTGACGCGACGACTCGGCGATTCGAAGTAACTCATCCCCTTCTATATCTCCCAATAGAATTTAGATCAACCCTCAACTTTTGTAATTATCATTATTACTTAATATACTGCAATTCTCCCGTAAGACCAAACCGCTAATTTAAATAACGATTACATAAATCCATGTAATATGAAAAACATTCTTACAGCTACAAACTGCATAAAAGATGTGTTTTCAAGGCCTTTCTGAAGGTAATAACTGATGAAGTCTAATTCGAAGTGGTAGATCATTCAAGTATTATGAAGCATATACAGTAAATGCCCTAACTGAATATGTGAGACGGAGAGGATCACTGGCTGACCTCAATTCCCTGGTAGGTGTATATAAATTCGAGCAGGTATCTAAATATTTCGGAGCTTGATTATCGTAACTTGGGGAATACAACTTGTGGAATACTTAAGGGTATATCAATATACGGAGTATGCTATTCAAAATATTGGGTACTGGAAAACACTCTTACAAGTTGTTTTATCTCTACTTTCTAAGCAGATTGAAAAGCTCTTTATAGATGGCTGTAATCTGAAGGAAAATGATCCAACGGCATCATGTGACCTAGCCAGGTTTCTTTGTCTTCTGCCTTGTCTCACCGACCTGACGATGATGGAGTCTGACCATATATGGCTACGTGATGATTTCTACCATGAGCTTGCTCGTCTTGCTTCTTCCTCAAAGGTAAGGAAACAAATGATAAACAATCACTGTTTATTAATCCCACTTTCCGCCAACAACAAAAGCATTTTTTGGCGATCCGGAGATGGGGATTTGGGCGGTAGACCTTCTTTCACAGCTGCAGTAGAGTCTTTCACAACTGATTTTTAGAAAAATCCCTCAAATAAAACTTGTAGACTCTAAAATGCAGAACATTGTTTGAAATATGTCCATAGCTATTTTAAATGAATTGCTCTAAAAAAAAGTCACATTGATTATCAGTGTTATTCAGAAGAAATGACAGCTGAACAAAACGACAGAAAAGCTACTAACAAAAGGTTACAATGTAAAAGGGAACGTTTGAACAGTATGTCATGATGACTTTGCTTGTCTTGGTTCTATCTCAGATGTATGAAAATATACCTCTTACACAAAGAGAATTAACGAAGTAAGAAGTATGAAGAACTGCGTTATTTCAAGTCAACTGAAAAAAAAAAACAATTAGACACCAAATATATTACAAAACCCATTACAACAGTCTACAGTAGACAGTCCTTTAAACAAAATAAAACAAAAATCCCTTGATTATCATAACTTGGGGAATACAACTTGTGGAATACGTAAGGGTATATCTAAACACGGGTTATGCTATTCAAAATATTGGGAACTGGAAAACACTGTTACAAGTTGTTTTATCTCTACTTTCTAAGCAGATTGAAAAGCTCTTTATAGATGGCTGTAATCTGAAGGAAAATGATCCAACGGCATCACGTGACCTAGCCAGGTTTCTTTGTCTTCTGCCTTGTCTCACCAACCTGACGATGATGGAGTCTGACCATATATGGCTACACGATGATTTCTATCATGAGCTTGCTCGTCTTGCTTCTTCCTCAAAGGTAGGGTAACAAATGATAAACAATCACTGTTTATTTCTCCCACTTTCCGCCAACAACAAAAAGTATTGTCGGCAATCCGGAGAAGGGGGTTAAGACAGTAAAACACTTTTCACAGCTCAAGTACAGTCCCCCACACCTAGATCTTTACAAAATGCTCTTTAAATTGAGTTGCTGAAAAAATGTCACATTGGTTATCAGTGTTATTCAAAAGGAATGACATCTGAACAAAACGACAGAAAAGCTACTGACAAAAGGTTACAATGTAAAAGGGAACGTTTGAACAGTATGTCATGATGACTTTGCTTGTCTTGGTTCTACCTCAGATGTATGAAAACATACCTCTTACACAAAGAGAATTAAAACGAAGTAAGTAGTATGAAGAACTGCGTTATTTCAAGTCAACTGAAAAAAAGACAATTAAACACCAAATATATTACAAAACCCATTACAACAGTCTACAGTAGACAGTCCTTTAAACAAAACAAAACAAAAATCCCTTGATTATCATAACTTGGGGAATACAACTTGTGGAATACGTAAGGGTATATCTAAATACGGGGTATGCTATTCAAAATATTGGGAACTGGAAAACACTCTTACAAGTTGTTTTATCTCTATTTTCTAAGCAGATTGAAAAGCTCTTTATAGATGGCTGTAATCTGAAGGAAAATGACCCAACGGCATCACGTGACCTAGCCAGGTTTCTTTGTCTTCTGCCTTGTCTCACCGACCTGACGATGATGGAGTCTGACCATATATGGCTACGTGATGATTTCTACCATGAGCTTGCTCGTCTTGCTTCTTCCTCAAAGGTAGGGTAACAAATGATAAACAATCACTGTTTATTTCTCCCACTTTCCGCCAACAACAAAAAGTATTGTCGGCAATCCGGAGAAGGGGGTTAAGACAGTAAAACACTTTTCACAGCTCAAGTACAGTCCCCCACACCTAGATCTTTACAAAATGCTCTTTAAATTGAGTTGCTGAAAAAATGTCACATTGGTTATCAGTGTTATTCAAAAGGAATGACATCTGAACAAAACGACAGAAAAGCTACTAACAAAAGGTTACAATGTAAAAGGGAACATTTGAACAGTATGTCATGATGACTTTGCTTGTCTTGGTTCTACCTCAGATGTATGAAAACATACCTCTTACACAAAGAGAATTAAAACGAAGTAAGTAGTATGAAGAACTGCGTTATTTCAAGTCAACTGAAAAAAAGACAATTAAACACCAAATATATTACAAAACCCATTACAACAGTCTACAGTAGACAGTCCTTTAAACAAAACAAAACAAAAATCCCTTGATTATCATAACTTGGGGAATACAACTTGTGGAATACGTAAGGGTATATCTAAATACGGGGTATGCTATTCAAAATATTGGGAACTGGAAAACACTCTTACAAGTTGTTTTATCTCTATTTTCTAAGCAGATTGAAAAGCTCTTTATAGATGGCTGTAATCTGAAGGAAAATGATCCAACGGCATCACGTGACCTAGCCAGGTTTCTTTGTCTTCTGCCTTGTCTCACCGACCTGACGATGATGGAGTCTGACCATATATGGCTACGTGATGATTTCTACCATGAGCTTGCTCGTCTTGCTTCTTCCTCAAAGGTAAGGTCACAAATGATAAACAATCATTGTTTATTTCTCCCACTTTCCGCCAAAAAAAAGCATTGTCGGCAATCCGGAGAAGGGGGTTAAGACGGTAAAACACTTTTCACAGCTCAAGTACAGTCTCCCACACCTAGATCTTTAGAAAATGCCTTTAAATAATACTTGTAGACTCTAAAATGCTAGAGCGCCGCAATGGCAGAACAGGTAAAGCCGGGATAATAATCTCCAAGTTTGGAAGCGCTTTAGTGATTGTAATAAGCGCTATATAATAGCTAATTATTATTATTATTATTATTATTATAATTATTATAAAATATAAAGCGCTTAGTGATTGTAATAAGCGCTATATAATAGCTATTTATTATTATAATTATTATTAAATATAAAGCGCTTACAGTAAGAAACAATTTCATAAATACATGTAACAATAACAAAAAAATCTTACAACTACAAACTGTATAAATGATTGGTTTTCAAGGCCTTCCTGAAGGTAATAACTGATGAAGTCTAATTCGAAGAGGTAGATCTTTCACGTATTATGAAGCAGATACAGTATTATGACCTATCATCAGCTAATGTGCAAGTAACTGAATATGAGAGAGGGAGAGGATCACTGGCTGACCTCAATTCCCTGGTAGGTGAATGTAAATTCAAACAGGTATCTAAATATTTTGGATTTGTTTTCGTTTTTTGGGTATTATTTTTTTTTAAATCGTAACTGGTGGAATACAACTTGTAGAGTACAACATTTAAGGTATATCTAAATACAGGGTATGCTATTCAAAATATGTGTAACATGAAAACACTCTTACGAGTTGTTAGTTGTTTTTATCTCTACTTTCTAAGCAGATTGGAAAGCTTTGTATAGATGGCTGTAATCTGAAGGAAAATGATCGAACGGCATCACGTGACCTAGCCAAGTTTCTTTGTCTTCTGCCTTGTCTCACTGACCTGACGATGAGTGATTCTGACCATCTAAGGCTAAATGATGATTTCTACCATGAGCTTGCTCGTCTTGCTTCTTCCTCAAAGGTAAGGTAACAAATGATAACATTGTTTATTTCTCCCACTTTCCGCCAACAACAAAAAGCATTGTCGGCAATCCGGAGAAGGGGGTTAAGACAGTAGAACACTTTTCACAGCTCAGGTAGAGTCTCCAACACCTAGATCTTTAGAAAACTCCTTCAAATAAAACCTGTAGACTCTTAAATGCAAATTATTGTTTGAAATATTACCGTCGCTCTTTAAATTGAGTTGCTGAAAAAAATGTCACATTGGTTATCAGTGTTATTCAAAAGGAATGACTTCTGAACAAAATGACGGAAAAGCTACTAACAAAAGATTATAATGTAAATAGCAACATTGCAACAGCATCTCATGATGACTTTACTCGTCTTGCTTGTACCTCAGATATGTTCAATTCAATTCAATTCCGGTTTATTATTATCAACATATACAATGTACCATGCAGTAGTCCAAGGACCAATCATGCAAAGTTTACATAAAATGTGCATAAAAACAGGAATGATCATAGACATGTATACAATAAAAATGATAAAACATAAAGATAATATAATTGTTCATTCCTCAAGTTATATTCATATTATGCTAAATGATAGTAGATGGATGAACAACTGTAAAAGTAACTTGAAATGTTGAACCAATTATTGCAAGTAAACATAATCTGAAACAATAAAGAGAGGAGAACTATATAGCAATTGTCAAAATGAAATCCATAAACTGAATGAGTGTACATGCAGGTTCATCTCTTATGGGACAGATTAGGTCAAATTTAATATTTTGAATGGAATTATTACATTAAAAATATACCATTAAAGTATTTCATATAAAGTGATGTATAATGCTTATGAGCATCAACAAATTCTTATAATGTTTGAGTTTCCACATTACATTGTAAATTGAAGTTGAGTTACAATTAAGTTATTGCAGCAGAATTATACACGGTGGTTTAAGAACAACTAAATTTATAAGAAATAGATCAAAGCTAAATTACTTAGAAAAATGAAGAGCACTCAATAATATGCCCACAATATTTAGATTTGAGATCGACCTTGAATTCAATTAAACATAGTTACAAAACAAAAGTTACAAAAACTCTAACGTCGCAACTCCATTCCTCTTCAATTTCGCACAGGATATAGACATCAAAATGCGTTCTTTATGATGTAAATTAGAGTCAAAGGTGAAACTGGTTATTGTACAGGGTCAATGGTCATATTCAGTGGCGGATCCAGGGGAGGGGGCCCGGGCCCCCATCCCTTGGGGAAAACCATGTAAAAACACGTTAATATTACCTTCTTTTTTTTGGAGTTGGGCCCCCTCCCCTGGCGCTCATGGGGGGGGGGGGGGAGATCGATTTTTCAAATCCCCCCCCCCCCAAAAAAAAAAAAAAAAAAAAAAAAAAAAAGTAGTGCTCACTCACCAGCTGGATCCGCCCCTGGTCATATTGTATCGATCTATCTTCCATAGATTCATAATGATCAAGGCTACACAGCTGAAAATTATCATATGGATAGACCATAATGAAAGGAGCATTTTATAAAATAATATGAACTCGTGAAAATGCATTCTTCATTATTAAAGACATTAGCATACGTGGTTCCATGACACATGCTCCGCCGACGATTGCTCCGCCGACATTTACTCCGCAAAACGCGACAATTGCTCCGCGACATTTGCTCCGCGACATTAGCTCCGACGTCAAATGCTCCGCCGACAGGTGCTCCGCCGACAGTTGCTCCGCCGACAGTTGCTCCGCCGACAGATGCTCCGCCGACAATTGCTCCGCCGACAATTGCTCCTCCGACAATTGCTCCGCCGACAATTGCTCCGCCGTCAATTGCTCCGCAAAACGCGACAATTGCTCCGCCGACATTTGCTCCGCCGACATTTGCTCCGCCTGAAGCGACACTTGCTCCGCCGACATTTGCTCCGCCGACATTTGCTCCGCCGTCAATTGCTCCGCCGACAATTGCTCCGCCTGAAGCGACAATTGCTCCGGTGACATATGCTCCGCCGACAATTGCTCCGACGACATTTGCTCCGCCGACAATTGCTCCGCCGACAATTGCTCCGTCGACAATTGCTCCGCCGACATTTGCTCCGCCGACAATTGCTCCGACGACATTTGCTCCGCCCAAAAAGTGTCCCATTAAATACAAATGCTACTAGTACTACGGCTCGGTGTAAAAATGTCAGAGGTAAAAATGTCAGAGGAAAAAATGTCAGAGGAAAAAATGTCAGAGGTAAAAATGTCAGAGGTAAAAATGTCAGAGGTAAAAATGTCAGAGGAAAAAATGTCAGAGGAAAAAATGTCAGAGGTAAAAATGTCAGAGGTAAAAATGTCAGAGGTAAAAATGTCAGAGGAAAAAATGTCAGAGGTAAAAATGTCAGAGGAAAAAATGTCAGAGGTAAAAATGTCAGAGGTAAAAATGTCAGAGGTAAAAATGTCAGAGGAAAAAATGTCAGAGGAAAAAATGTCAGAGGTAAAAATGTCAGAGGTAAAAATGTCAGAGGTAAAAATGTCAGAGGAAAAAATGTCAGAGGTAAAAATGTCAGAGGAAAAAATGTCAGAGGTAAAAATGTCAGAGGTAAAAATGTCAGAGGTAAAAATGTCAGAGGAAAAAATGTCAGAGGTAAAAATGTCAGAGGTAAAAATGTCAGAGGTATAAATGTTAGAGGTATAAAATAAAAACAAAATCATGTGGCAAGTTTGTTATGGTTACACCCGGGCCATATATTAGGCTTATCGAAAAAGAACAGCGAGGGATAATTTGCAGTCGTTATTTCACCGCTGCTTTATTTTCTACTTTCCCAGTTAAAATTTATTTACCTTTCGGTCCCAAATTGTGACTTTTTGCCCGATTATTGCCGAAGGAAGACGAGGGGGGGGGGGGGGGGTATTCTTCTTCTGGGGCACGGTGACCGGGCTGCTCTCCCCTTCCTCTTATATTATGCTTTGCTATATATCCTTCTGAACAGTGGTCAATGCCTAGGCAGAGCAGGCAGACTAATGGGACATGGTTTCTGTTCCGAGTTTCGCGCCTTGCAAGCAATCATCAGGCAATTATTGATAGCATTCTTAAAAGTACATGATTATCTTATACAACCTTCAGGGTACAAATACCCCTAAAATAAGACTTAACTAATAAAATACAATTAGAATTACTCATGAGTAATTCTTATTATATTTTATTCAGGTATTGTATATATTAGTTAAGTCTTATTTTGAGTGTATTTGTACCAAGGTTGCAGAGGAATCATGTAACAAGTTTGAAGAATGCTATCAGTTGTCTGATGATCGCTTGCAAGGCGTGAAACTCGGAGTAGCAACCATGCATGTCCCATTAGCAGCGCTCAAAATACACGGGGGCGATTGCAAAATTTAAAATCGCCCCCGTGGAATTATAAAATAAAGATTATCTTTTCTGTTATAACTTTAACACAATATTGAGTTTCAATTTTCAAACCTTAAACCAATGAAATGGAACTTAGATTAGCGTGCAAGATTTCTCGTTCTATATGAGTATTTATTAACGATTCAGCTCGCAGTGCAGTGCTGCAGTCAGCAGTGGTTATAGGCCTACTGCGCCGTTAGTAACGGTACGTGTTCACGCTGCCGCCCCATATCTGCTGGAGCTGGAGGCGATCGCGCAAGGGCAGGAACATGGTCATGGAGAAGTTTTTCGTCGTGAAAAGCGTATACCCGCTGAAATCTGGTGATTTCAAATGACCAGCAAATAGTGAACCTCGACCAGTAAACCAAAATTAGGGACTTTTAGATTTGCACGACGAGAACGTGTACTGCAACGTGTGACCTCCTTTTAAGGCACTGCCAGTGCTTAAAAGGACGTCACATGATTGTGACTGCCAGTGCCTTAAAAGGACGTAACACGTCCACGCAAATCTAAAAGTCCCTATTGGGAAGAAGAGGAAGACCAAGATGTTGTTGAATGATATGGTAACATGGGCAGATCTACAGGGGAGGGGGGGGGGGGTTTAGGGGGTTTAACATTTTTGAGCAGACTCAGGCGACCGGTGAATATTAAAGCGGTGGGGGGGTGCTGGAGAGGAGGACCACTAATTTTTTTTTTTTTTTTAACTCTCACTTTCACCTATCCCAGATAACCCTAAGTTTTGTGTTGCTGCTTTATATGTAGATGATAATGCATGATTACAATAAATAGAGAGAGAGAGAGAGAGAGAACCACCATCATTATGCAATGGTTCAGGGTTTGTGTAATGTACGTTTGAAACCATTTCTTAGCGTCTCAACCCTAAAAAAATAGCGAAACTATTTTTGAGGAAAAGCATTATACTGAACTGAATAAAGAATAATAACTTTAAATTGGCTCATACTAATACTGATACGGGCTAAATACAATGTGGTATCGGCACAGTAAGATCGGGTATTTGTATAGAGGTATTCCAAAATGACATTCTGATAATCAACATTTTGTTCTGTTATCATATGTATATACGCATAATACAACTGATCTTTGTGATTTCTTAACGTGACATAGTTTCTTCTCCCCCTGCAAACAAAAAAGAAAACAAGGTTATTTAATAAAAGGATCATGGGACAAAACGATCATTGTGATTCAAATTGATGCAAGGATTTTTTTTTTAATATTAAGCAATGCTTTTCACCAGAATCTTCTTTGTAAAAACGACTTTTAAAAATCTCAGCCATGCAATTCTGCCACTGTGTTGTAAGATCACTTTCACATTAGGAGAAGTGTATTTCTTCAATGAGTATTTTAAATTGAATGGAACGTCTCAACTCAGTAAGCATGGCTGAGATTTGTAAAAGTTGTTTTTACAAAGAAGATTCTGGTGAATAGCAGTGCTTATTCAAACAAATATTTGAATCACAATCATTATTTGTCGCTTAATCCCTTTTAATGATCTGTTTTCTTGCTCGTTCCAGTTCAGTTCAGTTCATTTTATTCAAAACCACACAAAGCATGATATAATCTGTTACATAATAAAGAGACTGGTAATAGTACATC